AGATACAGTTAAAATCGCGTCGTGTTGTTCAAAGTGGCTTCATCGTGCCTCTGGACTCTCTCCGCCGGTGTCTCCTTTATAATATGAGAATTCAGGGTTCTAATACGCGTCCCCCTCAGCATGTTTCTCCTATCAAACCTTATTAATTTGAAAAGGCTACATTTTAGCAAGCAGCTTTCCTTTGCATCTAGAAGTACTTCACAACAAAATTGTTTCTTACGTTAGTATAGTAGTTAATGCAAGGCATTGTTCGGCTGAAATATGCGCTTGCAAATCTCTTTCTGGGATGTGGGCATGGATTTCGTGGGCATATTCGAGGTAAACGCCCCGAATTTCTCGTCATATCGTGTCCGTAAGTGTTTATGCGTTTGGATGTTAAAAATTGCAAATACCCAACAATTTTAGCGTGCGATTTGCAATTTCTTTTCGTCCCGATTTCAGTTATTCACTTAAGTTTGATGTCTTCATTTTCAGAAAGGTTTCGTAATCATATGTTATTAACCAAAATCCCTTACGCAAATATTTAGTATATTTGGAGGGTACTGCTTGTAACACCTAACGAAGTGGCACCCGTACCTTCTGTCGATCTCACCAGCCTGTCACCTGATTGCACTTTATGGATTTGTGTGTGTACTTTTGTCGTTCACGCTGATAGGTGCGCTGTTTGCGGGTGATCCGCGTCCATCAGCTATGCATTTTTGTGGCTTTGTCGTGCGACTGACTAGCTATTGCTGTGTCCGAACACGTCACTACTCGACTGACGGATGCGCGGGACAGGGAAGATAGTGTGGCCGATCCTGAAGAATCCGTCTGTTTGATAAATCGCCGCATTCCATCCTCTAATAGATCTGGCGCGTGTGAGCCTGTCGCCCAATGCGGGGCTTTGAAAGACTGCCAACCTATGGGATAACTGGGCCTCCCGAGACGCGGGTCAGACTGCAGTGGCCACCCCCTAGAGGTGAGCCTTATGGCTCCTATCACTTCTGTGGGGTCTGCGCCTGCTTGGCTTAAGTGATGAACTGAGACGTCGCGTCAGGTCAGCCAATACGCCTAACTTTATTCCCAGTCGTCTTGCTTGGGACAAGCCAATGCCGTACCGAGGGGGAAGAGAAGGCGAGGTTGATACAGTCTGGATTCCGCACTCAGTACTTCACCCAACATCGCAATGGTGTGAACCACTAGTCGTAACTCCGCGAATTTAGCTGTAATTTTCCCATAGGTGTATACATGCTGCCGCGACTGAGGTTTTAAAAATGTTGCAACAGGAATCATTCCCTTCTTTTTGCTGACCTTCGTACGAAAATAAGGACATCTTCGTTTCCTTCTTATGCTGTAAATCAGCGTGATAAATCTGAACACCCAGCCAGCCTGCCTCCTCATTCCTCCCTAAATCCAAAAAAGCACACGAGCGACTCTATACCATTCATTGTTAGAGTTCCACGCCTTTTGCCTAACACTCTCCACCATTTTGCTATCAATTTTCAGGTAGAGGCACTGGAACGCCATCCTTGCGCATAGGCATCCACCAGCTGGGACGCACCACTGATTACGAGGATTCGGACGAAAAGACTGAATGGCAGGGTTTCGACTAGTACCGTGCGCCACACCCTCCTGCCCGCCGTATGCCTGCATGTCAGCCTCCTTCATATCATGTTTGGTATCCCTCTACCTCCCCCACCCCAGATCTGCCACATGGACGTGCTCGTTCCACTGTGATTCCATAACTCTCCCTCATTCTACCACTACGTTTCTGACCGTTGTCCTAATCTGCAGGATTCTGTTCATGTGTGCTGTACTCTTACTTTTTAGTGTTTTTTTTAATGAATCAAGGTCTAACTGCTTTATCAGACTTGGTCATCTTCCCACCGCAGGCGAAGGTGCTCGTGGTAATCTGCCGACCGCTGTTCGATTTCTAGTTTAATAATATTCTAAGTCAGGTGGTCCGTGCCGCATCTTAGCCAAATGTTGACAATGAAGTAATATTGCTGCCACATGCAAAAATCCAAGGCTAAAACTTCATAGCAAAATGGCGTCGTCTGTATTATATCCTGAATCTGCGCAGGTCAGTAAAGACTACTGTCATGTGGCTTTGAGGTTGCTGACTCGTTTTGTTCCGATCCTTGTTTCGCACATGCATTGGCGAATCTGTGCTGGATTAAACGTAACGACGTGCTCGTGAGCTGGTTATCTGCCTGTTGTGTCGATTATCTTTGCTGGTTCCAAACGACAGAGAATTGAAAGGTCGCATTCTCGAAGCGAATAGGGAAGGTGAGGAATGGTTTCTATTAAAAGCACCAGTGGTGTTTAGCTAAGCTCCCTCGCTCATTTTTGCTATCGAATGTGTGGTGGCTATAGTCAGAGCTGTCAGGATTTTGAGAAAGCTGGGGACAATTCAGAAATAAACCTAGTCAACACGAGCATCGGCAATGCAGTCTGCAAAGTACATTGAAAGCCGTTATCACATTTGTGGGGTGCAGTTAGGTGTGCGATTAAAAGTACAACAGTGTGCAACGCTTTTGTGGCTAACTGGACGCGCTTGCGAAGCCAAGTTTTCCTTAGGTAGCCGCCCTTCATGAGTCAAGAACGGAGTCCATTGGACATATTGGCTTCCATGCCCAGATTACAGACTATCTTGTCGAGGGGATTGCAGAGTCCGTTGGTGCCAGCGAATTGTTTTATGCTCAGCCCCTGTCTTTTCATTCATTAGCATTCCTATTCTCCGTGTGGGGATAATAGTTGTTGTCAAGGTTATGCGTTCAGTCCTGATTTTCTACAGTTGTCCCGGCCTGGGGTGTTTTAAGGCTGGCTCTTCGTAGTTATCCAATTTCTTTCCATGCGTTATATCGAAATTACGCCTTGTACCTACATACGCCATTTCGATTGTGGCGTTTGATAAATGGCGATCAAACCATGACAGCAAGGTAAGTTCGATCGTAAAGCTTGTCTAACCGATTTTTAGATATCGGCCCTAATTATCAGATTATCACTTCCGACTAATTTCGACCTTAGCAATCGCCGTCTCGTCCGTTATATGAATATCTCGCACTCCTGGGGTGTAGGGGTGTCAGTGGTGGGTTCACGTGATGGTCGTGGTGGTCGCTCACTTGCTTGCAGGTGAGACTACGCCTAGCGTTCACTTGCTGGCACTCAACTCTCACATGTGGCTACACGTAGCTGGACTCTGCTCAGCGACCACACCCCGGGCAACCATCTCGACCGGCGGGCTAAACCAGGTGAGGGGGCCCTGTGCGCTGTGCCGTGTGCACAGGGTTGGCGGATTCCGCTGGATGGAAGGTCGGATGGAACCTTGCGTCGGCACCGTCGTGACTTGGTTCGTCTCTGCACGTCGCTTGACAGCCGGTGACGGGATGGATCTTCACATCGACATCGCCTTGACGCGCCCACCTACGCCGTCGGAGACCGCGGCTTACGGCGAATTCGAGTCGCTCTCCACTACAACCAGAAGTCGTGGTCCCATAGTGGAGTTCGGCCGTGCCACAACGGCACATGGCAGCCCTATTCAGGGATGGCACTGCCAGCCCCCACGAGGGGAAGGGCCTAGAAAAGGTGGCCTAAACATTGCTGGGTACCACGCCGTCTCCAGGCTAGCCAGGGCCGCAGACGTCTAAACATGGTCGAAACAATCAAAATCGAAACAACAACAATACCAATAACAACAACAACAACAACAATACTCGCTCACCTCCTCATCCTACCTCTTCTTTCTATTCCTCTGCCTATTCTTCTGCCTAGTCTTCTCCTTCACCATCCTCATCTCCACCTTCCCGTCGCCCCACTCGTTGTCACCAGACTGGCAGGGTGAGTCCGCTCACTCTGGCAGCCTGGAATGTTCGCTCCCCTTTAGTCAATCCGAGCAGCAACCGACCGGAACGAAGGACGGCGCTAGTGGAACGGGAACTGGCGCGCTACAAGGTGGACATCGCCGCACTCAGCGAGACCCGTTTCTCCGAACAAGGCCAATTGGAGGAGGTGGTTGCCGGCTACACATTCTGGAGCGGTCGACCCAAGGCAGAGCGACGGGACGCGGGCGTCGCCTTCGCCATTCGGAACGACATCGTGGGACGACTGCCCTGTTTGCCGCAGGGCATCAACGATCGCCTGATGAGCCTCCGTCTGCCTCTCTGGGGTGGGGGCAAATTCGCCACCATCATCAGAGCCTACGCCCCGCCGATGGTCAACCCCGACGCCGTCAGAGACAAATTCTACGAGGACCTGCACGCCCTCTTGGCGACTGTGCCGAAGGCGGACAAGTTGATTGTCCTTGGCGACTTCAACGCCCGCGTCGGCACAGACCATACAGCCTGGAGAGGAGTGCTGGGTCCCCACGGTCTCCGCGGCCCCAACGACAACGGCCTGCTGCTTCTCCGCACCTGCGCAGAACACAGCCTCATCCTGATGAACACGTTCTTCAGTCTGCCGGAGCGAGAGAAGGCCTCCTGGAGGCATCCTCGGTCGCGCCAGTGGCACCTGCTGGACTATGTCCTCGTCCGGAGGCGAGATCAGCGGGACGTGCTGGTGACAAAGGCGATCGCAGGCGCTGACGGGTAGACGGACCATCGCCTCGTCATCTCGAAGATGCGTATTTGCCTACAGCCTCGCAGGGGACCACAAGGTAAGCGACCTCAGGTAAGCTGAATGTTGCCTTGTTGTCTTTGCCCGCTCACCATCTTCATTTCAGCAATGAGCTAGCTCAAAGGCTAGACAACCTTCCAATCGCTGCCGACGCCGCCGCTGCCGAGAACGCCTCCGTGGCGAACCGCTGGTGTCAACTGCGAGACACGGTCCAGGCGACGGCGCTCGCCGTCCTCGGTCGCGCTTCCCGTCAACACCAGGACTGGTTCGACGACAACGACGCCGCCATCAGAAATCTGCTAGCTGAGAAGAACCGCCTACACAAAGCCTACGTCGATCACCCCACTGATGCCACCAAAGCTGCCTTCTACCGCAGTCGCCGCTAACTTCAGCAACGACTGCGCGAGATGCAGGACGCCTGGACTGCTCGCAAAGCTGAGAAAATCCAAGGGTACGCGGACCACATCAAATGGAAGAACTTCTCTGCGATCAAAGCTGTCGACGGTCCGCCGACAACGGGCACTGCTCCTCTCCTCAGCGCCGACGGCAACACTCTCCTGACTGAGAAGACGCAAATCCTACAGCGATGGGCCGAGCATTTGCGAGGCGTCCTCAACCGCCCCTCCGTCATCTCAGACGCCGCCATCGAGCGTTTGCCGCAAGTGGAGACCAACGTGGACCTCGACCTCCCGCCATCTCTCCAGGAGACCATCAGGGCCGTGCAGCAGCTCTCCAGCGGGAAAGCACCCGGATCGGACGCGATTCCTGCTGAGGTCTGCAAGCACGGAGGTCCCCAACTCATGGATCACCTGACTGCGCTCTTCCAGGCGATGTGGCGTCAAGGCGAAGTCCCGCAAGACTTCAAAGACGCAACAATCGTGCACCTATACAAGCGAAAAGGGAATCGCCAAGTCTGCGACAATCACCGCGGCATCTCCTTGCTGAATATCGCCGGGAAAATCTTCGCTCGCATCCTCCTCAACCGCCTCAATAATCATCTGGAACAGGGCTTTCTGCCGGAAAGCCACTGCGGCTTCTGTCGTCATCGTGGGACCACGGATATGATCTTCGCCGCCCGTCAACTTCAGGAGAAGTGTCAGGAGATGCGGACCCACCTGTACTCTACCTTCGTGGACCTGACGAAAGCCTTCGACACGGTGAATCGTGAAGGACTGTGGAAGATCATGCAGAAATTCGGCTGTCCGGAGCGATTCACTCAGATGGTGCGTCAGCTGCACGACGGTATGATGGCGCGAGTCACGGACAACGGAGCTGTCTCAGAGGCATTCGCAGTGACCAACGGAGTGAAGCAGGGATGCTTGCTGGCACCTAACTTCTTCAGTCTTATGTTCTCTGCCATTCTGATGGACGCCTACCGCGACGAACGCCCCGGGATCCGCATCGCCTACAGGACGGACGGTCACCTGCTGAATCAACGGCGGATGCACTTCCAATCACGCGTATCCGCAACCACCGTTCACGAACTCCTCTTCGCCGACGACTGCGTCCTGAACACCACCTCAGCAGAGGAGATGCAACGGAGCATGGACCTGTTTTCCGCCGCCTGCGAGAACTTCGGTCTGGTCATTAACACGCAGAAGACAGTGGTGATGCACCAACCGCCACCCAACTCAGCCACAGCCCCAACGCGCCGGCGCAAATCAGCGTGAACGGAACCCCAATTGCATGTGGTGGAGAACTTCCCGTACCTGGGCAGTACTCTCTCCCGCAACACCAAGATTGATGACGAAGTCGCCAACAGGAGCTACGAAGCCAACCGCATCGCTGCCGCCAAAGCGAAACACGAAGCCCGCAAATCACAACTTCGCCCAGTACGCAACGCCGCCGCACAACCGCTTCCAACGTTTCCTCGAGGTCAACGGACATTCCGGGCTCGAATCGGACTTGTTGGACAACTTCGGACTGACTGCGCCTCTCGAACTGCACCAACCATCGTTCCCCCGCCCACCTCTTCCTCCTCCTCTCTGCCGCCAACTAACTCTGACAATCCTTCTGACCCACCACTTCCATCCTCTTCCTCCTCCTCCTCCTCCTCCACCTCTTCTTCCTCCTCCACCTCCTCCTCGTCCTCCTCGCCCACTGCTCCAGCGATGGCCGCTCAAGCGACTGTCACGCACGCAACAACCGTCACCACACCCACTGCCTTCGACTCCAGCGATGAGTATCAGGACTACACCTGCCCTCACTGCGACTGTAACTTCGCCTCACACATCGGCCTGGTCGGTCACTTGCGAATCCATCGCACAGAGACTGGCGAACCAGTGCCTGAAGCACCAACCTACACCCACCGCACTCGCCTCCACTGCCCACACTGACCTCGCACCTTCAGGCATCTCATGGACCTTTTCGGCCACATGCGCATCCACGAGATCGGCCTTGACTGCACTCCCAACACACCTACTACATCCAACAAATCCACCGTGTACACCCCCACCCTCGCTCCACCCGTCTGCGCCACCACCACCGCCTCCTCTTTAGCTGACACCGACACCGCCGACTTCTCATGCCCACAATGTCCACGCACATTCACCTCACGCATCGGCCTGGTCGGTCATGTGCGAACCCATCGCACAGAGCCTGGCGAACCAGTGCCTGGAGCACCCACCTATACCCACCAAGCTCGTCTCAACTGCCCACACTGTCCTCGCACTTTCAGGCATCGCATGGGCCTATTCGGCCACATGCGCATCCACGACGACTTGCGGTAGACAAACGCCGGTCACACCACACATTCACTCACTCCCTACCTCCACCACCACCATCACTCCACCAGAAATCAACACTCACACACCTCATGCACCCAACTGCCACCTCCCACGCAAGTGGGAAGTCCGCATCTCGACTCGGTCCCCATGCGGCTTCGGCTGCACGGGTGACTTGAGTCCGAGACCATCCCGACACGTCAAGCGTCGTGGATAGGAAGGTTGCTGATTGACGCCCGCTCTCGGTTCACGCAGTTCGTCGCGTTGTGTGTGGGTTGTGTGGAGTGGCGGACTGGTGGGCTGGGGACGGGCTGAAACAGCACCTTCCACGGCACTCTCACGCAAGTGAGAGACACGCCGTTCAACCCCCGTTGTGTGAAATCCTGGTGTTTGTGTGTATGGGGGGGCAAGGTCGTGCCGTGGCGCGCGCAGTCATGGTCAGTCGACGATGACAGCCACCGCTCCCATTCCCCACACCAGTCTGCTGACCGGCTCGGACAGCGGCTGGAATGTGGGAGTGGGAAGGGAGAGTGAGGTCGTCGAATCAGCGCACTTCCTCCCCACTATAAACAATCTGACGTGTGCTTGAAGCTATCACGGTGCGCTAAAAGCCGTGGCTTGGAAGATTGCCAACTGACGGGGTAACTTAGACCTCCTCCTTAACTGGAGGCGGTCTGAGAGTCAGGCTGCAATGGCTCCTTTTTAATGTGGCCTTTATGGCACTCCCATCACAGTGTGGGATCCGAGCCAGGCGTTGGCGGCACGCCCAGGTGCGGCTTCGGTCGTGCCAGCCTCCAAATCTCTGTTGTGTTGGTTGAAATCCTGGTCATTTGTTGTGTGGACCAGGGGATGTGGTGGAACGCCAAGGTGAGTATCCGTCCGAGCCATCCACCTGCGGCCTCCCTCGTCTCCGGTCTTCTTGACTCTGTCTTGACACCGGGCTCGGGCGAGGGAGGAGGAGAGAGTGTAGGTAGATGCTACGTAAGTCTACCGGCACTATAAACCCCTGCGGAAGTCACCGTCCCTGCACCCATTGCTGCTGCAACTGTGGGGCACACGGTAGACATCATCGAAACCGATGGTCGAACTTTCAGTTTTACCCAGGCCTGCCGACGAACTATTGTTTGATCAGGTCGAAATACATATCTAACTCCAAGACAAGCAGGATGATCCACCTACTGCCTACTCTAATACCTGCTACTTCTTTGGGAAAAATATCTATTCGCTGGAAGTATAGTCAAACTGAAATTGGTGATCTAGAGTACGGTAGGGTGTAGGATCCCACCTAATTGTCGGTGGACTGTGGATCGTGTCATACTCGTTTGGGGCTTTTACGGACGAGGCGGTATGTCAGACAGTGAGCTGACGAATTGCAAGATAACACAGGAGTTGTTTGAATTTCTGTCGAAAGTCTTAATTTACGCCTTCGTATAGCAACGGAGAAGAGCTCGTAAATTAAAAATGAACAAAAAGCAAACTTCAAAAAATAACAGCTTTAGTAATGGTTAGAGGTCACGGGAGGTGATAGTTGTTGACAATATAGTGCCTGCAAGTTGACGCCATGATAAAGCCACATATGAAATGATCTACAATTCACCGACAGTTATGTGGGTTCTTCACCTTACCGTTGCTCTACCTATATCATCCTACATCTTTTGCCTAGTAGCCAGTGTGAAGATGTAATTAAGGCCTCCAAAAAATGTCACCGATATTATTCTAGCCATACGACCTTTCATCCCACAATTGGCAGGTGATGCGCTCTATGAGCCACACGCACAGAAATTGTCGCAGAAAGGTCGATCGTTTTGTCGAGTGGAATTAAACAGCTCATAACGACAACCCGGAATATCTGCCCCATCTAGGTGATTAAATGTCCAACAAGTCAGGAAGGTCAACTCCGGTCGCCCGCCAACTGACGAGATCCAAAATGCGCATCGTCATTCTCAGGGACTTGCCTTCCAGATGAAGGCAAACTTAAAGGAATTAAAGCAGGATACACTTATGAGCGCACATCCAATAGTGCAGGACGCCATAATTGCCTTATCACTAGAAACGGTATACACAGGAGGCTACCTTCCGATCTTTTTAAAACAACTAATGAGTGGTCAGACTACGACTTACATTCCGCGGGAAGAAATACACTGCGAGCCTTAGCGCCCATACTCCCTCAGCGAAAAGCATGTTATGCGAGGATCCTTTCCTTCTCCTTGTGTTTGTGTAGGGATGTCCAGTTGTGGGTACACGCGATGGCCGTTGTAGGTCGCTCACTTGCTAGCAGGTGTCGAGTACGTTTATTGGCCATTAACTGGCATCCAACGCCCAACCGTAGCTCTCCGAAGCTAGGCTCTGCCTAGCGGCCATACCCCGCTAACCGCCTCGACCGGCGGGCTGAACCAGGTCAGGACATCCACGTGTGCATCTCCGCACACGCTAACTCGGCTCCGCTCCCACCATCGACAGCCGGATGGATCACCGCCTCGGCTTCTCTGAGATGAGGCTCCTTCTGCAACCCCACCGGAGGCCACAAGCCTTCAGAAAGCTACTGACCCATTGCCAAGAAGACCGTCCCCTTACTTCTCTTTTTGCACTTATTTTCCGCCACTCTCCTCTGAACTTTACTCTCCCTACTCTCTACTCTATTCACTTACTCCGCACCCGACTGTCCGACGGATCACCGCATCACCGCAGATGGACAACGAGCGGTTACCGAAACGACTCTTCTATAGAGACGTCGCCATGGGTTCCCGCTGACAAGGAAGTCGGGTCCGGCACTACAGGGATACTCTGAAGATTTTCCTGAAGCGCTAGCAAATCAACCCGGCCAACTGGAGGGATCCTGCCCTCGACCGACTGACCTGGCGGAGAGCATTAGAGACCGACGTGGCAAATGGCAAAGCCACGAGAGTCAGCTGTCTAGCGCTATCACTCTGGCCTACGTTTAATAATGTGTTCCAGTTGTTACTAAGAGTGACGTGAACTTCAAAATGCTTCACTTCCACATATATTTGTTTTCAGTTCCAACTCAAGTTCAACAAACGCCGTGACACTAAGCGTGATCACTCTCCGTGGGCTTTTCCGTCTTAAACACTCGTTCTAGGCTGCTGGAAGACGTGACTAATTGGATTTTCTCTCACCGGCAATCATTCAAAGACAAGTGCATTTTATCATAACAATTCTTGTTATTTTTGCTTGTCGGCATTGGTTAATTTACGTCCATTCAGTGAAGCCCATTGTTGCGTGCGCACAAAACATGCCTGCATAAACGCTGGCTGAGGTCATACTGAGGCAGGCCAGTAGTAGTGTGTGTGGGTGACTTTCCCAGCACGCCTCGCAAGAAGCTCTTTTAGCGGTCAATCAAACGTGCCTAACAAAACAAGGAGCTCTGCAAGCAAAAAACGGGTGTCTAGATAGCACGACAACTATCCCAAGGTCCAATAGACGGGACTCTGACCGAAAGACGAATAAGTGTTTTCAAGAAAGCGGTGGAGGTTTGTTTTATCGAGTCAGCGAGAAGCTTCTCAGTGTTCACCAAATAATTTGTCTTCCTTTTAACAATGCTTATGCCGATATTGACCCGACTGAAAAACTCGGCGCCTCAGTGGGATCCGAACCCACGACAGTGGAGTGAAGCGTTGGTTGTACTAAAGCCTTCACCGTACAGTCGTGGGTTCGAATCCCACCAATGCGCCGTGTTTTTCAAACTTGGGCCAGTATGGGTTATTCAAAATCTGCCAAAACATCTATCAATGCTTTTTGCATCGAACACCTCGGCCGAAGTAAGAACGCCGCGAAGACCAAAACTCGTCTTCGGCTGTGTCAACTTCCGATGAAACATAAACACAGGGAAACACTTATTACGCGCCAACCAGTATTAACCACGAGACCTGCTGAGCCCCTAGTCACTGCCAACAACAATCGACTCGCCGCTGCGAATTCATAATCTGGGAAATGCCACCCCAGAAAACATCAAAATTGACGACAGGACTCCAGCTCTAGCATTCAAAGTCAACCGAACCTTCAATAACCTCCCGTTTCCCACATGGAATCGCTAGCAAATCCTAAAGACTGAGCCGAGTATATACAACGCCACAGTCTCGACGACACTAATCGACGTCAAAACTTGGGAAGAGCAAACGAATCACCTCCAAATAAGTTGTCTTCGAATAGAATTAATGGTGGTGTGACAGGAAGGAATTTCGGACAGCCATGTCCTGAAGTTGGGTATACGTGTCATGCTGAGGCGGATCTAGATACGAAAGAGCGGTCACCTCTTCGGGATGACTGATAAGCACTTGACAAGAATAACCTACGTTGAGGAAGCTGTGGGTGCTCATTGGCGGTGGGGCAAAAATGATGCTACGCGGACACAGAAGTAATCATTCGAGTGACTGAACTAATCACAGGATTGGGCGAACACTCGCGTAGAGTCGGCAAGCGCAATGATCAATCGTCAAACCCGATGCAGCAACTTCTGGAACTAAACATGTATATAGGTCCAGGAGCAGGCGGGATACTGGACAGATGAACGGGTCGGACACTTGCGAACTCAACGCGAAACAAATGGAGAACCGCAAGAAATTTCCCGCCAACCACTGTTCATATGGTCAATAGAGCCCAATTGACGATAACAACAGGAAAGTTAGTCTTTTCTGGAAAGATCAGACTAAGAAACGAGTGATATAACTGAACCAGTTTCGCTATCGGTTTCTCAGTTTTTAATAACTACGCTTAGTATCAGTGATGAAACGTCTCGCCACGAAAGGTCTAGCATAAATTGCGCTTCTCGACCCTGCTCCGAAATCCCTCTGCCACTGGATAAAAGAGTACGGAACTCCGGAAATTACGAACAAATGCGGTCGACCCAGCGCCTCAAAACGTTATACGACTCCAAAGTGCCGGGAATAGTCGACGTACGCGCTACTACCGCCGGCTACGGTGTGTTGGTTCCATCTTGACCACAACCAGTGTGCTTTAAGAGGAGGTAGGACGTTTGAGCGAAGCATGCATAAGCGTGTCAAAGCCGACCACTTGGCGCGGAATCCAATGTGCACAAGTGGGTGCCGGACTTGCACTAGCCGGGCCAACTGCGTATCAGTTATGGTACCGTCCCACCATTCTCGTCATCTGTATATAAGTCTGTCATGGAACAGACATCCGCCCATCTGTGTATTGTTTTCTGAGGGTAACGTGCAGAGCAGGTGGGCCATTTTACAACGTACTGCTCCTGTATGAACCATGACAACAGGCACAGAACTGCCACAGCCAAGTTTCCGCTTAAATTGCAGTCAGAAACAGCATAGAAAAGGCGTATAATTAAATTAAGGGCCTCTCTGAAGACTAACGGATGCCCGCGCCCAACGTTAATTAATGCTTCCAGATAACGATCACAAGAGCTGACCAACCAGATGAGAGCACACTAGATGCGTATTGCCAATAATGCACACAACCTCTCTCCGGTAGGTTCCCCTAAAAGAGAGCTTCCATGCAGAAAAGGAGCCTACAAAGACTGGAGCCCTGATATTTCGCCGACAAAAAACATCTTAACTATCTCGGATGTCTGTCGCGTCGGAGTACAGAAAAGCCTCTTAATGTCCGATTTTGGCACGTCCGCCAAACGCGTGAGAGTCAGAGGCTGACTAAACTACCTGAAATTATTCAGGGTCCACGATGGCAGATACGGCCAAAGATACCATAAACAGCAATGAACTGCGGAAGGAAGTTACTCTCTTCATCCCCTCCAAAGGACATTCTGTCCATTTATTACACACTACAGGAGTGGCAACGGAGAAAAGCATTTATAGGGAAGGACGATAATTTTGTGCAGGCACGACGAAAATAATTAGGTGACGTAGAAAAAGCGAAAAGACACACAAAGTAGAAAAAATAGGGCGCTACGAAATTGTAACAACGGATGGAATGCTGAGTGCAGGGAGAACAATTAAAAGAATAGATAGATTGTGGAGGAGGATGAGGAATAAACCAAGATGAACATAAAAGTCGGGAAGGTTGTTAAAAAGTAAACAGGAGAGGCGAGGGTTTTAAAGCTTGAGGGCGTAGTGTGAAGAAACAAGAGAGATGTGGAGAAGCACTAGATTTCTTGGGCATCACCACTCATCCGCCCAACTTCGGAGCGTAGGGTTGTGTTCTTCTCCTTCCACTCGACCAGTTCATCTGGATCAAAACGACTGATAAGTGAACTTGACATGTTATATACAACTATGCAAACTGGTGCAGTCATTACCGTCACAATAGTGCTTGATAACAGATGGCCAGATATGGGAGTGCTGTCGGCCAAAGTTCGGAGACGTGCTTTCAAAAAGAAAATAATATGCTTCGTCGCAATATCTTCCGACGAAGACTGAGGCATTCATTTCCGGCTCAGATGTCATGGTCATATCCAACCTCACACCCATCAGACCCGCGATTTGACGCCGCGGCCATTCGGTCATCGACTCAAGGCACTAACATGAAGGAATATACTCACATTCTGTTGGCGGCAAATGGGAACACTCAAAGTCATGTGGGAGCGGATTACAGTGGGTGACCGATCTCCTAAAATGTTGACCAAAATTCTGAAATGCGTTTTTGATTAGGGAGGATTACTTAGGTACGGTTACAATATGGATTATCGGGCGGCATAATTCTACAATGTTTCTGACTCGCCAGGATGTCGGCTTTTCAATGCACTCCTTTTTGACTTCCTGTAGAAACCGCAGTCGGTGAGTAGCATGCATTCTTCACATTAATTTTTAATGGTCTTATAAATTCAAATACATTTTATAGAAAAAATGTATAAAAATATCCCATCTTTTGCTCGTTTGGTAGAGAAAGAAAGGGTGTATCTAGCTTTTAAGAAAGTTTTTAATCATGAGATTTTTAAGACCGCGCAATGTCCATTCATACAGCATCGCACATGTCCGTTTGCCAATGCTTTTCATGAAATGTGGAACATAATCCGCATCCATTGCAATATTTTATAAACTCTTCATGGCATATTTTTAAGGACACAGGAGAATAAATAATTTTCCTTACGCCGAAAGCAAGCACCTTGTAAACTTAAATCGCCGAGAGCTAGTGCAACGGCTGAACAACCTCAAAATTATTCGGGCATTGAGAAACTTTTTCCAAACCTAAATAGACACTTTTTCAGGTATTAAATGTAAAAATAAGGTAATTCTCCACCAAATGAGTAAAAAAAACACATTTTTATGATTTTTTCTATAAAATAAATTTAAATTTATAGGACCATTAAAGATAAATGTGAAGAATGCATGCTAATCACCGACTGCGGTTTCTACAGGAGGTCAAAAAGGAGTGCATTTAAAAGGCGACATCCTGGTGAGTCAGAAACCTTGTAGGATTATGCCGCACGATAATCCATATTGCAACCGTACCTAAGTAATCCTCCCTAATCAAAAACGCATTTCAGAATTTCGGTCAACATTTCGTGAGATCCATCACTCACTGTACGTCGATCTAGCGTGATTGCAGGACGTGTCACGGCTTTCCAGATGCTTGTGAAGAGTAGGGCCGCCGCCAATCTGGATGGTCATTCGCCGACCTTGATATTCCATACCCACTATATCTACTAGTTGTTACACCATCTTAATGATAATATAAACCATAAATTAGTATGTAACTACACCCTAGGAAACCCATTCTTCTTGTTGGACGCAAGGACTTCTGAAAACCAATGCTATATGGCCACTGTTATTGTCTATACGAATACGTGGGGGCGGCATTGCGTTCCCCCGACTAAAGACAGCCACCTAACAGGAGAATAGAGCATGTGGTTATGTAGCCGCACCTGATAGGCAAAATACGGTTAGGAATTAGGGCAAATATTTCTCAATCACTCAAAGTACAACCGCACATTCCCAATAGCTTTTTTGAATACAATTACATGACCTCGTCGCCCTTGTGTTTTCCCGGCCCCACCTGTAAAAACCCCTATTACCACTGGTCCCGTATTACAGGCAGCTGGGGGTTGCTTACCTCAGGTGTGGCTACATAACCCCATCCGACCGAAAAGAATGACATACGGGGGAAGATAAAGAAAGTAGTTTGGCTCGGGTCTTGAAACGTCGCCTTGGAAGAAAATTCGCAGCTCTTAACTAACCATAATATTACAGATTTTGGTCGAGAAGTGAACTGACTTTCTCCAACGGCCGAAAATACCCTTCGGACAAGAAACTAGAGCGACCAGTCACCACTGACAAATATACCGGCTAGTCTGTCAAGTCTCTTCAGGTAAGACGCCACATTTGAGAATGAATGTCGCCAGGTAAGACAAGTTGCTAGCCACTGATCACGAAGGATGTCTTATTCCGGTCGGAGTTGTATATCGATAATACCTCAGTTCTTGCAGCGTTCAAGGATAAACCAACTGATGTTGCGACCTTGTTCATTCGAGACACGACTTTCTGCAGATTTTCGCAGATTTAAGCTAGTAGAACGATACTTGGTAGTCGAAGTCAGGCAGCCGGTGCCCAGGCACAAGTCAGATACCGCCAGAAGCATGAGGATTTTTGAGAATCCAGTTAACGCCATAGTTAAACAGGATGGGCGACAGGAGAAACGGTAACCAAAGGGTTTTAGGCAAAACAGTGACACAGGTGGGTTTCGACCACAACAATCCACAGAGGTCTCATGAACGCAAACGAAAACTGTGGTTAAAGTAAAGAAGCGGACAGGCCTCAGCTGCCGAGAAGTGGCGCAATTCTAGGATTTGTTGCAGTGCCGATATTCGGTCGGTGAATGGACGTCCAGCTCATAACTCAGCTTAGTGATGTCTTCTACCTGGATAAAACGCTGTAGTCTGTTGGTCCTCGTAAAAATGTTGATGGGACTAGTGTAGTGATAGCACTAGACTCTTTTGATAAGCTCCCTGAAAGGAGGAGAATGGCGTGAACTGTAAAGATTTCTTTTCAGGTGAGAGTCCAAATCGGCACGAAAACTTCGCAGGCGTGTCTGCGACCATTCTAGGAAAACCGGTTAACTGTTTCTGACACATTTCTCTCCGTTCATGCAAGTGCTACCGCAATTAGTCAACCACAGATCCCCCACTAGGGGCTAAGACTAAACAGTTAGCACAAAGCCTGATAAACGAGACCTACCAAGATATCCCAATGGTTCTTCGACCCTGCGTATTCACTTTTCGCTGTCGAACAAGGTAATTCTAGCTGGTTGAATCCGCTGTCACAGGCGACAGTGGTTTTAAGAGCAAGTTGCAAGACATCAGTGAAGCCTAATAGACTACACAGGATTGTAGTCGTCTCATTTGTTTGAGGTTATCGTCTCTGATTGTTTAGCACCTTGGTAGCTATAGGCAAGGTAGCGTTCGCAAAATAGTCCACGTAGGAGTAGCAAGTGGTTATAAGGCGACAGCGACATGTGTCAGATAGCACTGCAGTTGTTAATCAATAACCGGTCATCCGGACATAACAGCTAGTATTATACGCGGCTGGATCCAGCTGAAGACCATTCTGCCACCAGGCGTCCAAGAACGCGTCGGGTGGCCGGCAGTTAACTTTGGGGACTGGCTTCATCACCATAAATATCCATGATCATACAAGAGAGGAACACTAATGTCTCCGCTAGGTGTAATAGCGTTTCTAGGCGATATAATAAGCCATCCGAATTACTGAAATGAAATTGGGTTGTTTGGAGGAGATTTCTGCTCAGCAACTTAGACGGCCCCATAGTTCAACCTTGTATTTTGCCTTTTCCGGCATGTAAGGCACATCCAACCGCCAGACCCCAAAGGCTACGTATTCCAACGCTAAATCGGTCCCAACGAACTTCTTCAATAACTGCTTCTGTTAGTCATGCCAGCATCTGACGGTGCTAAAGGGGGCTTTAAGCTTCTACGTCAGGTGCCTCACCATCTAGAAGTACTCTATGGACATCCAAGGTGAGCGGGACTGGTAATTCTTCTTACTCTAGGTACACAGTCGTCTACACGGGATTCAAAAAACGAAGATTTCATTGAAAGTAAAACGATGATCTACCACAGAAAATGGCTCAGTCCATAGAAAACAGGAAAACTAAACGTGATGTGTGTGTGGACAAAAATTCAAGGTAAATGTAGACAAAGGAGGGTGTCCTTACCTTCCAAATTAGCTAATTCTAGCTGGTGCGCATGTGCTTCTGCTTCGGCCTCACGTGCACGACGGGTGGCCTACAGGAGATGCAAAAGTAGTGGTAACTGTCTAAAAGCACAAACTCGTTTCTTTTGGAGTGAGTCGGGCACATTAGCGAGTAGGTAAAAATGCAACATAGAAAACATTATCAGTTTAGGAAGACCTCTATGGCCGCTCTAGAAGAAGCCAGGAAGTTAGCAATAAAAATTACCAAACGCTACCGGGTGACGCAGACAATCTGCATCAAAAATAGATCCGTTATTACGCTGCCAGTTCGTAGAATGAGGATGAAACAATGGGATAGAAGATCTAATTTTGTAGCTTCAACGGTAACAATCGGAAATGGTTTGCACGTGTACGTAGAGCTGATTAGAATAGAGAAAAGTGGGCTGCTAGCAGATGATCTATTCACATGGATGTGCTTCTTTTAAAATGCTCGGTCAAGGTAGGTTATAAGTCCCGAGAACAGCGATCGCCGACCTCGAGTATTCAGCAGCCACATCTTGAATGAAGTTGACGCGTGAATTGCGACAATTTACGCACCATTTCAGAAAATGTGTTTTGCACTGACGTCTTGCTAGTTAACAGTCATTCTGCAACTAGATTTGTCAAAAATTTAGATTTTAAGTAGTTTTGGCATTCCGTATTTGCTCGTGTAGGCGAAATTACGTGACAAACATGTTTTCTATAGATGAAAAGAGGAAAAGAAAATAATCGTAAAAGGCGTTTACTGTAAACAGATTGTCGTGCGCAGACAAAGGTTAGTAGTAAGGCAAACGCTGCGGTGTATATTCCTGTTGATTGATGTGCTCTAGTACAGCGCCAGACTGTCTTTGCTACCGTTAGAAGCTTCTACAGTAACTACTGGCACACGCCAAAATCAGTAGTTCAATTCGACGTATGCGTCATTAAAATAACACCTAATGCAGGAATCTCAGGCAAACAAACTGACTTGTCGACAGCCTGCCTTGGTGTTGACAGCCGAAAATGAAGCTGCGCAAATTGCTCTTTGTAGTCAGGGAAGAAAAAACTAGTCGTTAGAAGCGGCTGCAAGTTCACAGTAGGGGATGCAACAGCGGTCGTATCCACCAGTGGGACCGTTTGGAGACAAACGACTATCATTCTAAATGGGATGTAGGGATGTCCGGTTAGGGGGCACCCGTGCATGAGTAGTAGGTTGCACCACGCAGATGGTGACTGTTCCTCACGACACTTAACCGGCACCCAACTCTCACTTGTAGCTCCCCAAATATAGGCTCTGCCTAGCGGTCACACTCCGGTAACCGCCTCGACCGGCGAGCTAAAACAGGTGAGTGTCCGTATGTGCATCTCCACACACGGTAACCCGGCTCCCCTCCCACCACCGCTGGCCGGATGTATCCCTGCCTCGGCATCTGCGAGATGAGGCTCCGTCTACAACCCCGTGTTGTGTCCAAACATTCCGGTAATTCTGCTCACATTCCCATTCCTATCATCCCGTTCTCTTCCTACCCTCTTCCCTCTCCTTCACCTCGAAAATTCTTACGGTGAGGGCAACATGCCTTTCAGTAGGCGGCCCAGGCTAACTCGGGTCACTCTTCATTAAGCACAGCTGTGACCCATTGTGGGGTTCGGCTACCGTCTGGGTGGGGGGGGGGACGGCACTGCTTGCCCCCCCCCCCTGGTGGGGAAGGGGCTAGAAAAGGTCTCCAAAACAAATGCTGGGAATTCCCACCAGCTGCAGGTATATCGTGACTCGTATATGCCAAAACTCGGGGTAGAGAAATAACAAAGAGCAAAAATAGCCCTTGTGCCCCTCTCCTGTGTTCCCCCTGCAGTTTGATAGGGTGACTCCGCTAACGCTGAGAGCATAGAATTTTCGTCCTCCTTCAGACAATTCTGGGAACGACCTGTGAAAACGGAGAAGGGCGTTCGTCGCTCGAAAACTGGCACGCTGGAAGGTGGACATCGCTGCCCTCAGCAAGACCCGCTTCTCTGAACAAGGTCAATTGCGGGATGTGGGTGCCGACTTTACCTTCCTCTGGAGCAGCCGCCCGGCGACGCCATCCGGAACGACTGTCCTGTTTGTCGGAGGGCATCAAAGACTGATTTCTTACCCTGCATAAGTAAGTACGTTGTCTCTTCGGGGAGCCAAATTCGCCACCATCGTCGGTGTATACAGTTACAGCGAAGTACAAGAACCGCCGTCGCACAAGTCCACTTGGCAGCGATGTAATGGACTTTATTAAACGGCTCCAAAGTGTGTGTGGTGTAGAAATGCGACCGAACCACACTGGGTCCTGGATCGCGTGCGGGTCCGCCAGTCAGATATTCGTACCGCGGCATGTTCTCGAGCCCAGTTATCGCTTGTAGCAGTTAATGGCTGTCTGTTTCGTTGGTTTCGGCGAAGAGCCTGTCGTTATTAGTGGAAAGATTAAAAGGCACACCAAAACTTTGTTGTGATAGTCACGATATAATATTGTTCGGTCACCGCTTGAGTTCTTATATACGGGTATCTCTTCTGACAGTTACATTAGGCGTCCGAAACGGATGCACCCTTTAGCCTGTTTAGTTCTCGAAAGCGATATCTTCCTACGCTGACGATGTCGGTATGCTAATGTCGAACTATTAAAACTTACAAGGTCAGGCGTCCGGACGAGATAAGTCTCTATGCTAGTCGATACCATGAACGCAGCGAAAAAAAAGCGTCACTGAGTTGAAGTTGTAACCGGGAAAAGGCACCCCTCGAGATTCTGGACCGTTATTGACAGGAAATAGGCAGTTTCGGAGCCGTGGCATTACAAATCAAACTGACTAGGGAAGGCATTACTGCGCACTTAGATGCTGTTGCGGTGTTCTGCGAGTACTCTAAGGTGGCTATGGGACCGCCACAGAAATTTAATCGTCAGCGGTATCAGCCTGTGCCGGGAAGCCGTCTGATCAGCCGACTGAGACTGAGTGCTAAGACGTACGCTTGAAGGTTGGACGTAAAATTGAGGTTTCCATTCACCGCTGGATGAGAATCACCCTTTGAGGGACGTACAAATATCCCGGTCGCACTAAGACAGTATGCACTTGTTGTGACAATGTTGCGAGGATACTGCGCGCCATCCGACAGCGACGGGTAGCATACATTAACACGTCCTTAGGCATCAGGACCATTAAGTGCATCTGCCCCAAATCTGGCGTCTTCCAAATGGAAAAGCTCGGAAGCTCGATCGTGCAGTCTGTCGAGATAAGGCGGTTCTTTAGTCTGTCATATTTGGCCTTCGATCCCGATTATAACAGTGATTTGAGGTCCCCTGATCCACTGCCACAAGATGCAAACCTTTAGTCGCAATGCGCGATGTCGTTGAGACCGGATGGGCCAGGCATAATTGCATCCGTAACAAATACAAATATCATATACTGGCAGAATAGTATTACCGACAAAGACAAGGGAGACTGGAATGGCCATTTCTGGCAACGGGCTCGTGGCCCGGTGGGTAGAGGCGTGGACTTCTAAACCAACAGGTCGCGAGTTCGAGGCTCGGGTGTTCCACACTTCGGGCTTGGGTATGGCTGGCTGACGACGGCTAATAAGCCAGAAATGGCCATTCCAGTCTCCCTTGTCTTTGGCGGTAATACTATTCTGCCTATATATCATGCGCCGCTGTGCGGCTGCTGGTTGGGCTCGAGAGAGAGCCCTTAAGGCACAACGGAACGAGTGAGTTCCGTATGAACGATCGGTGAGCGCCCCCTACCATATCATATACTCTTCATGTTCAGCGCTGACAGTAGCCACCTGGTGAGAAAAACACCATCCTAGATTAAATAATCAGAAGCCGTCGTTCTGGGGCTATCCATAAGAAGCACGAAGGCTGGGCTAAAACTAATAGAGATGTTAAGGAGAAAAATTGGCAACTACTCTAGTAATAAACCACTGACAATTTGGTTACCATAGTTACAAATAACTGCGAAATATGCGGCGTACCTCACTTAGCTTTTCACCCAACTCCCTGATTTCCTTCTCCATAGCAGTGACAGTTTCTCTGACCTGAAGTTTCAAGAATAAGATGAAGAACTTTTTAAACGTACACGTTGAAAAAGTGGTAATGTGACGATGGATAACAATAGACAGTGACGTTTCAGATGTGGTTTAAGTGAGAAGAGCGTAAAACGCTCAGGGCTAAGAGTCGGATTACCTACTTGAAGATATCGAAATGTGGATTAGAACGTCGGATGGGATGCAAGATACCCGTCCTGTGCCAAACATTTAGGTCAACTGAGCGTCTTCTATTACGGATTGCTTGTCTTAGGACGAAAACCTACGGCACTCGAGTAAAAATGGACACTTAGGGAGAACAAAAACACCATACAAGCGGAAGCCGAGACAAAATCATGATGTGAATTACAAGAAGATGAAAATACCACGGCACACTTACAGCGACTTCAGATGCCTCAAGGGATTTTGACTTGTTGGCATACATGATACACAAACCTTCGAGCTCTCTTATCGATCTTAGAAACGTAAACGTCATGAAGACAACAGTACCTTTCCTTTCGCTCGTTTGTGTGCTCAAGTCGATCTACTTGCTCGTCAATCTCCTTCAAGCGGTGGAATGCCTACAGGTCATAACTTCGGTAAAGAAATGAACAAGAAAAACCTCGGTAAACTTTTCTTGAGCAGAAACTGTGGCTGTTCTGACTTCCTGGGCCTTCTGTTCTAGTTCGTGCATCAGCTGCTCCTGGGCGGCACACTTTTTTTCAAGGTATTCCCTAGCTCTGTAGACATAGGACGTGGTAGTAGGAAGACATGCCTTTTGCTTTCAGCGGCTGCGGCAAGATTCTCCTCCAGTCGTTCAAGCCGTTTACTGAGCATGAGTTCAGAACGCTCGATTTGGCGTTCTAGGGTGTCAACTTGTTTGTGCGCAGACATAATTTTAGATTTAAGCTGCTAACGTTAAAAACAATAACCAGTACTTCATTCCTCTCCTTCACAATCCTCTGCAGCTCTTCATCGCGTTCAACCAAAGTCCTCTCCAGATTTGAAATTGTTTCCTTCGTGTTTGTAAGCCGTTCCTTCAAGGCTTCCATTGGCGCACGCGAGTCACCGGTCCTGAACATTAAGGCGAAACGGATTATGTATGGAGGGACCGCGATTACATACTGATGACTGGCGAAAGATGAGGCACACGAATCTAGACCAGTCGAGAAGTTTACTGAAGCAAAAGATGTTGTGAACTAATGCACGGGCAGACACATAAGAAACGCTGCCAATCTTGGGCTTATGTAATTACATGGTGGCTAGAATCTTACAAGGCATTTGCACGACAGTTTCACTGAAATCTCACTCACTACACAACTGCACCATGGATACGGAGTTCAGTCCGACTTGCATAATCACCGATCTCTAATGCATGTGATCGGAGGCTCTAAGGTCTATATTTTCTCGGCAGCTTTGATCGACTCTTATTTAGTGTCTACTTGCGGTCTCAGGGGTAGTTTAACAGCAATTTTGGCTAAACTATAAATTGCAACGCAAGCGGCCCGGTCGGTTTACTGGTAGCTCTACCACGGCTATACAGACGCGCTTTGTCTAAGTTAATTGATAAAGTTCCACAGACTTATTAGGTCTCACTGACACGACGAAACGCAAATAAACTAAAAATTGCAGTTCGTTAGTATCAAGCTAACCCAGTCTTGTCGCACACCACTATTTGAAATCCGCAAACAAAAAGGACAGCCAATGGGTCACTGTGCAACGCACCGCAGGTTCGATAGGGTTGGTTGAACGGGTTGATGTCACTTTGGCGCGGATCCTGGATGAGGCTGGTGTGATCGTTTGCCGGCGACGATAGTCGGTGTTCCTTCCCTTCTTATCGCGGACATCACTTTCCGCTGTCGCCGTCCGTTCGTCACTTGTTTACATTAGAAAAGGAACCTTAAAAGGGAACTGTGCCACACAAATCAACGCTCCTCGTTTTTCTCACAGAGGGTCATTCGCCAATGGAACTCTTTGCCGGAGTTTGTTGTTAATTCCCCTACCGTGAACGTGTTCAAGAGACAACTGGATGCTTTCCTGCTGAAAGGCAACCCGAACTGCCGAAGCCTGATCTAACGGATTACTGAAATGACTATAAATATACTACTAACAAGATTTCAACAGATCCTATTTTATGCTCCAAACTTAGCCCATATTGAAGTTTTCACAGTCCGAATGCGGTGATTAAAGTGTTTCGCAATTATTTCGCGATTATAATACCCCTTTCGCCTTTATGTTACATTATTAGATTCATGAATTCTCCTTACTATAACTACAAGCTTTGCAATTTACCTATTTTCCCTTATATCTGTACCCTCTAAATGGAGTTTTCAGGGCTTTTTGTCGTTTACTCCAAATATACTGACTGATACTGACCTCATCGTTACACACTCTGACCCTTACATGCAGTGGCCGACAGCATTACAATCCTCACTGTCGTCTAACTGCTATGGCGTGATAACCTCCCACTCCAATTGAATCATTTTTACATAACCTAGCTATTTTCTTATATTTGTTGCTTTCACTTTTTCTACCGCATATGTTCGTTATTGTAATATGGACATCTTACACTATAAACACCTTTTCGTATTACATCCCCATACGCTTGTCTGATGTGGCGTCTAACGGCTCTGTCCAGTGTTGCATAACCGAGCAGTGACGCTGTGTGGTTTATTTCAGCCTGTGTGTTCTAACCTCGACGTCTTCAGCCACTACAACTGTTTCTTTCCTGTAATAAACGCGCACATTTTCACCCGTCAATCTTCCTTTTTGACCCGAATTCAGCGATTGTTTCCGTTATGTGAGTCTGAGGTCGGTTTCCTTTAATGAGAGAAAAGAGACACGTCACCGTTTTTTGATTATTTTTCTCGTAATGCAGTGCCTATGGTCGAGCCGTCGACAGATGCCTCGGACATTTATATTTAGATGGCCCAGTTTAATAAAGTTTTGCATAAAACACATTCATCTTGATCACAGGCTCGATGTTTGCGAATTTTTATCCATGTTTTAAAATTATATTGCCTCCATTCACCGGAAGAAAAGAAGAATTGTCCGGTCCAAAAAACGAAGGCCGCTCACATACATGCAGACCAACAGTGGAAGACGGCCAGGAGACCTACGAAGGAAGGATGGAAGCTCTCAGTTATGTCGCACAACAGAAATATCGGAACGCCTTGTATGCCGAATCAAGGTCACTTCGAAGTAAACTACGGCTGGCTATATTCGACGAACCACACGGAAACACAGAAGGAAGTGTTATGATACATAAGTCAATAGTTTCATTAAGAGGCGCTTGGGAGTCCCGTCATAGCAAGCAAATGCAAATTTTCAAGTAAATTTTGAAACAAGTAATCAGGTTCTGCACATTATTATATTTCCGCTTGCAGAATAAATGGTTTAGTTTTATTAAGGGAAATATAGGCCCGCGCCTTTGAACTACCTATTGGTTACGAGTCGTTTGTGAAAAACACTGGTAAGTGGAAAGTTGAAAAAGAGATTTTGTACATAATTGCAGTCAGTTACCAGACAGTTGAAAAGAGTAATTATAAACGGTTACTCACTAATTACAAGTAGTTTAAATGTATAGGAGTTGTGCTGTGCTATGTGAGTGGATGTGAGGCCGGTAGATGGGATGTTTGATACGCGTCGTTTCTACACTTAAAGGAATTCACAAAGAAGAAGAGTACATAATCAGTAAATACAGCATTCCACACTGCAACCCCTCTGTTATTAAAAAAAAAACAACTTTCGTACATGGATCATTGCTTTCCACAGCGTAGTTTTAGGGGATGACCGCTCGAAGTGTGCATGCCAGCTGAAGCGAAGTTATCAGTGGATCTAAGCAACAGTCTAGGCCGTTGATAATGCGAAATGTTTATATAAGATCACCACGTAGTTGTTTGTAGGAAGGGGAAAGAGGTTGAGAGTAGGTAGTCTGGTTTCATAGGGCAGTGCTCCCAGACCTTTTGCCATTTTGGTCGTCTGTCTCTGGACCTTCTCCAAGACGGTACAGTTGTTGGCAGTCCAAGATTTCCACGCTGGTATGGCGTATTCTACATGAAGCCGCATGAAGATGCCAAATATTTTGGAAAAGCAGTCAGGGTCAAATCCCATAAGCCTCGCCTGAGTTGCAATGTAGCCATGGCCGACTTAGCCGCCATCGCGCAGTTCAGTGTTGGTTTGAATCAAGATGCAGTCCACACTCCCATGTCAAAAGAAGAGTGGGCGTTCACCGGGAGGGGTTTATTCGAGATCCGACATTTCGGGTAGTTTACTCGTCTACCCATCTTCAGGGACTGGGAGGTCCTGTGCACAGCACTCCTTATTATGGAGCCCTTTGTCCAATGCGTGATCCGCCAATGCCGCCTGTGTGGCTGCATCCCATTCGCATGTCACCGTGACCTGAATCGCCCCCGTCGGCCGCGGTGATGACTGACGGCCCCGATTGTCCCGCGCCGTGACTGTCCCCCGCTAAGAAGGTTCGTAAAGGTTCCCAAGTCCTTCTGACTGTCAAATTATCGCAGTAATCGTGAAGAAGATAAGCCCTGAGCCGAAGGCTCTGAAGATGCAGAGTTGAAGAAATTTGCACCTGCTTACACTGAGAGACATAAGCCAGAACTCCGACCAGTCCTCCAGCCTGTTCGATTTTGCTTACCCTTGGTCTACGTCTGCAGCATTGGGATTAACTTTCCACAATTTTATGTCGTCAGCAAACAGTGTGGCATTACATTCTAGGTCCTTGACGCTGTCATTTATGAAGACTAGGAATAACCGGAGGCCTGAGAGTGAGCCCTGTGGGACGCCACTCACCAAGCTTACCTCTGAGGACTGTTGGCGCCCCATTTACACTCTTTGGGACCGTCCAGTTAAAAAGCTCAGCATCCATATAAGAATGCGTCCACGAATTCCTTCGTTGTGCCGTTTGTGCAAGAGACGCTGATGGGGAACGCTATCAAAGGCCTTTTGAAGTTGATGTAGATGGCGTGCACCGCACTGACTTCGTCGCGTGCTTTGGTACAGCGTTCGAGCGTAAAGAGCAGATTTTTGAGACAGGATCTAATACTACGAAAGCCGTGTTGGGTATCGGAGAGGAGGTGGTGCAACTCGAGGAACCGCATCAATGCTTTCTCAATTATGTTCTCCATGATTTCGCAACAGATAAAAGTAGACTCACGACTTCCAGCCTCAAAAAGTGAAGTGATGGTAGCGAACTTCCAATCAGAGGGCAGGCACCCAGTAAAAAATGGCGTTTAGAAGATCAAGGCTAACGGTTTGTACATTTCGTGACCTAGCTACTTCAGCAGCTTGGCCAAGACTGCATCAGGGCCTAGGGAGGTTGATTCCTTCACGTTGACTAACTCTTTCTGAACTATTGTTTCGGTGAATAGCACTGTCTCAAAGTTAGGCCTTTCTTCGTCTTCAGAAGTGGGTGAGAATAAATTAGGTCCACTAGTCACGACTGACTGGAAGATCTGAGAGGTATGTTCAGCCTAATTCTTGTCATCTGCATTTTCCGTTCCCTCGGCCGTTCTCAGGAGTAAGATGGGATCTTTGTTCTGTATACTCTGCCTCATGTAACTGTTGACGACTTTAGGATTGCCCATGGCACGGTTCGAGAGATCGTTTTCGAAAGCTTTCCGATATCTGGCAATGAGAATTTTGACGCGCATTCCCTGTAACTTATAACTGTTTATGGATTCAGGCGTCCGGTCAATGAGGTATCTTTTCCATAGCTTCCTCTTCTTGTTAACTCCCTTCTTTAAGGACGGAGTCAACCAGTGGGGTCTATTCGTTAGTCCTCTCCTCTTGATTGGGCAGCGGTTGGAGATGAGGCTGTG